GCCATGTGGCCTTGGGCAAGCTACAGCATTCTCGTGTATAAAATGCAAGTAATAATAGTACCTGTCCCAGGATTGCTGTGAGGATTAAATGAGCTAAATGTTGAAAAGCACCCAGCCTGGCACATAGTAAGTGCCCACTGGAGTGTTTGTTGTATCAACATGTAAGCAGCACAATATTTTTTGCATTTTACCATCCAGTGGACTGAGAATATTGTTCAAGCTACATGGAAATATTTGCTTTTCTGAAAATATTCTTTTAAAAAATGGGACAACCTTGATTGAATTAAGGGGTTTAAACAAAAATTAAGATATCACTGGAAAGAAATAATAATTTAAACCAAATGTTATTCAAGTCCAGAGGCCCCTGAATAGGCATTCATGGGCAGCACTGAGCTGGACGGGGAAACGTCACTTCTGAGGCTGTTGTGAATTTCCACATGATTCACACATAAGAGTCTTGAAATAACACCTAGCACATGGCATATGCTCAGTAGATGTTAGCCATTATTTTTACAGTCACTTCATTATTGATAACATCAAGATGATGTATATTCTGGGTTTCAGACTGATTAGACAGTGAATGCTGTCAAGCCACTTATCAGTGGACATTGTGTTTTGTCTTTGTGGTAGAGACAAAGACTGGCTACTACAGGCTGCCAGATCCACAGATCTTCAGTGTCCAAGGCCAAAAATAGAAAAACAAAGTGAAAGAAAGTCTTGGCTAGAGAGAGGGACCAATGAAGCAGCATCTTGGAAAAAGTTGTTCTTGAAGGATGAGCCCTTAGCTAGCAAAGACCACCTTTTGGGAGGGGGGCAAGTTGGGTGGAAATCCCATTAGAAATACAGTCAATCAGATGTACTGGTCAAAGAAGAGGACACCGCCAGTGTGTACTGCGCTCCCTGAAGGTTTCCATTCGATTTCCTCCAATCGCTGCCACCTGTCCTGCCTCTCCTCTTCCAGTCTTCCGCAAGAAGCAGCTCTTAATCACCAAGTGTCTTCTCTTGAAACTCAACTGTGCACATACATTCATATGCATTCACTTTTCATAATGGAGAATTTGTTTCTGTTTAAATCGCTGATTACGCCTATGGTTGGACACTTTATTGTTAGTACAGTTTAATACATGTATTCACTTTACTATGTATAACATAAACTTATTACTGTATTTGCTTGGACTTGTGTGGTAACTTACTACTATAAAAGCTTATTTTGCTATGGAAAATTGTCATGGATACAATGTGAAGTTATTATTTTCCTAGTTGCTATTAATCCTTTCTTAGAAGCTCAGACAGACAAGACTTTTAAGCTATAATTCCATCCTGGAATTTTTATAGCTGCTTTGGCAATTTCAGTTTTGCTATAGCATTTCCTAAACTTTTTTCTTGATTTTCGACTACAAATTATCTAACTATCCTATTAAAAACAATTATTTAAAATCCTATGGCAGATTATTGTGTTTTGATTTGTTTTCAGCTCTTTTCGTGGTTACATATTTCAGTATTGTGACTTTTTTTCATAGGGATTTTATAGGTATTTACATTTTACATTTGTATATGCTTTAATCATGGCAGGTATAAATTACTCTAGTTACTAAGAGTTTTTTTTAAACTCGCTACGTATTTTCCTTAAGTCCCATTTGAGCAGGAAAGAAAAAGCAATTCTGAAGTTATCTGAGGATTTTTGTCTGAAAATTAAAACTTATTTCCAAGTTGTCCATTTCTAAGTGCTTTCAAAGAGAGATCAGTTCTACTGTCGATATACTTGTTTGCAAGGTTTATTAAATGTTAAAGGTTCATGTTGAAAAGTCATTAGTCTCATGCTTTTGGACCAGGAGAATGGCTAAACTGCTTTGTTACATAAGTAATCTTATTAATGTAGAAACATTTGTCATTAAAATAGGGATTTTTGTTTTTCAAAATATTTCCACTCTGACCCCCAGATTGTAGTTTTATCACTTGTTATTGGTCCAGCTATGTGCCTGTGATACCAGATCATCAATATCTTCTGTTTTCTTCTTACTTTTATGCAGTAAAAGCTCTGATTAGTCTGTGTGATGATATTATGTTAACTACACACATACACGTGTTTTATCCTTAGGTACATGACCTCTACTGCATTTGTTATTTGAGTTAGATTCTATGCTTCATCTTTTAAAAATGTTTTATATAAATATTACTTTAATTCATTTGATTTCAAAGGAATATATATCTAAATAAAAGGTTGAAGTCATTTAGAATTAATTTGAGATGTAGTTCCAATTGTCCCAGATGCTTCATTTATATTTACCCATACTTGGTAACAATATTAATCCACAAAATAACTTAAAAATCTGCCTTGGATCATTAAATTCATTTGTGCTTCATTACAGGTGTTTAAATAAATTTGACTAACCTATATACTGAGGAACTTGGTTCTTTTTGTGAGCTATACAGTCGTTTGTATATTTTAAAAATATCTCCTCAAGATTGACTTTAATTGAGATGCTTTGAATAAGATCACATTAAGAAACTTTGTTGCAGGGTATTATAACATTGGTGATTAGGTTTTTTTAAATTGGGAAGAAAGATCTTGTGTCCATTGATGTATTAAGACATTAGAAAATATATTAAGAACTGTATCAACCTCTTTATTATAGGAATTCAAGTCATTAAATTGGTGTCATTACAGTGTAGTATAGTAGTATTCTAAACACAGTCTCTTCACCCAACATGTTTTGTTGCTGAGAAACCATTAAGACATTAAATGTTTGGAATTACAGCTGCATTGTATCATCAGATTGCACTTGACTTGTTTACACCACAGTATAGATGGCTGTTGTCTCCATAACTAGAAAAAGGAACCCTGACACAAAAACTGCATTTTGAATAAGCTTTTATCTACTATATAAGATTTTCTGTAGAAATTATTCCAATGAATGTAGTTTCAATTTATTTTATTTTTGTCATATCTAAATCTATTCCAACTCTTCTGGTCTTTTCCATAATGTTCTGTTCTTACAGTCTCATCAACAGAACAAGGATTTTATTTATTTATTTATTTATTTTTTACATGAGCACAGGACCCGCCCCTCCATCTCTCTCTGTTCCACCCACCTGGATTCTTCACCAGATGCGGTTTATCAGCATGCTGCAGTTCCTCTCCAAGCTGCCCTCTGCCTGTGGTGCTTGCCCATTTGAAGGCTTTTCTTCCCCATGTCTTTAGATATCTGTTCTGATATCACCGCCTAAGAAAGGACTTCTGTGACCACTGCATCATACTGTCCCCTTCTCTGACTTCCTGTGTCTCCATCATACTTACAATGAACTGACATTATTTAATGTGCTGTCTGTCTCCAGCACTAGAGTATAATCCCCACAGGTCAAGAGCTTTTTATTTGTTGCTAAGGCCCCGCTGGCCAAGGCAGGTGTTCAGTCCATAGGGTTGCATGACGTTTTTATCATGGAGATCCCCCCCCCCACTTGCTTGTTTCTTGGCAGACCGCTCTGCGACTGGGATTCCTGGACACATTCCTGGCCCATCTGCTGTGTCTGTCAAGTCTCCCTCTCTCCTATGACGGGTGGCAGGGTGTGAGCTTGACTTCCCAACCATGATTCAATACGAACACTCATCTGCCACAACTCTTACCCTGTTGCTGTTTCGGGATTGCCACGCAATCTGGTGGGCATTCATGTTCAGATTCCACGCCAGCACACGGCCCAGAAGTAGGGGTCTGATTACCCAAAGGTGTTTTACCCTCCATCCAGGCGAGGTCCTGTGCCAGGCAAAGTCCCTAAGTGTGTGAGCTAGGATTTCCAGGTGCCCCTTCCGACTTCTCGCCTTGCCAGGGAGCTAGTGCACAGGGACTGCAGCTTCTGCCTCAGCTGGGGTTCACGCCTGGGTCTGGCGCCCTCTGACCTCTTACATCAATCCCCCTCTCCCGACTCAGTCTCCACTTCCCTCGTGGTGCCTGGGAAGCCTACTCTCTTGGTTTCAACCTTACTATGTATTAGAAATAAAACGAATGTCTGTTGTACATGAATTTCTTCTGTCTCTGGTTGGGGGTAGCTTCCCACATCTGCCATTGGTTCTACTGACCATAGGTCCACACGGAGATTGTGTACTTTAGTGCTCTAACTAGAGGGCTGATGTTCCTGTGCCTTCCAAGACACTCACATCCAGGCCTCTGTGGAAGAGCAGTGATGAAGATTTGCACGGTGTTATTAGAGTTGAGGTCTCTGAACATTCCCGCATCTTACAGGAAATAGCAGACATTACATATGAATGAATTCTGTTAAAGTGACCCCCTCATCCATTCCATTCTATTCCAAAGTTCTTTTCTACTACTGCATATTTAATTTTCCTTTTAGCCTTTTAGAAGAGTTTCATCACATGGAAAGTAATTCTAATGGTGATTTTTAAATGAAGTATCTAGAGTGATTGTTTTTGACATGTTTTACTACTTTTAATTCCATTTTAAACCTATTGATCGAGTACTCGGTATACTCACAGGATATGTCTACTAGGTGCTATGGGCTGACTTTATTTTATTCTAAGATATGTTTTTATTTATTTTATTTTCAAGTTGAAATACACAGACTTGGCCAGGCTCAGTGGCTCAGCCTGTAATCCTAGTACTTTGGGAGGCCGAGGCGAGTGGATTGCCTGAGCCCACGGGTTCGAGACCAGACCAGACAACTTGGCGAGACCTCGTATTTACAATAAACAAAAAATTGGCATGGTCACACACACCTGTAGTTCCAGCTACTTGGAGGGCTGAGGCAGAAGAATTGCCAGAGCCCAGCAGATCGATGCTGGGGTAGCCGTAGGTGTGCCATGGCACTCTAGCCTGGGTGACAGAGTGAGACTCCAACTCAAAAAAAAAAAAAAAAAAGAAAGAATGAAATACACAGACTTTACACAGCTGGTTGTGTTTGGGCAAATAAAAGTACAAAGCATTTGTATCACTTCAGAACTTGCCCTCACCCCATCGTATTTTAAACTTTTTCTTTTTTCCTACCAGATGTTAAGACACCCCACCTGGAGTCTAAAGAGCATCCTAGGACTTTTTTGAATACTGGCGACTCCCTGCAGCCCACCAACAGAAACTACTTTGCTAAATTATGGGCCAAACTTTCAGCCAAAAGAAGACCCCCGGTAAGGGAGGGGCGGATGGGGTGAGGCAGCCGTGCTACACACAGTGTCAGGCACAAGGGGACTTGACACTGTGAGACTCATGTTTCCCCCAAAAGACTCACTTTTCACTTCTCTGTGCATCTCTAAGAAAAGGCACTGGCTCTAAAAATAGAATATTCAGTATAAGACTGTGTGAGCACCTTTCCCTGAGCTCCCAGAGGAAACTCTGTCAACTACTCTGTTGCGCAGGAATGGAAAAGCCCTGTGATCCAATGGGTGCAGTAAAAGATGTGTTTCAAGGGGAAACTTGCTGTGTTGCTGGGGCACAATCTTGAGTGTTCATGGGCTGAGCCTAAAAAATGGATCTGCTCAAGAGTCCGTGAGTATCACTTAGCACCACATCAGCCAGCTCCACTGCTTGGGCCCTGCTTAGTTCTTGGCCACATGTAATCGCTCTGTGTGATGCTCTGGGAAGGCCAAGTGGCTCATGTAACTGCAATTGCAGTGTGCCATGGAAGCCACGGATCTTGGTTCTGGCTGTCAAGTTCTTGGCTGTTCTTTAAGGCTCACTTGTCCCAGGCAAATAATTGTATGATCTTCTGAAGTCAGAAGCACAGGCAGCAGTCAGAGGGGTCAGATGGGTTATAGATACTTCAAACAGAAAGTCTTAGGCCGTGGTGTACACAGGCTAGCTGTGCATTCTGTTTTGCCATCGTGCTGCCAGGTGTCCCAGGATGAGGATCAGAGTCCCTGCCTGTCTCCTGTGTGTTCTGTGCATTCTGCTCTGTCCCCATAGTTACCAGGTGTCCTAGGTACAAGCATCAGCATCGACCTCTGTTCTGTGTGTTCTGTAGTCCTTGCTCCTGGCCAGCCTATCCTTCCCAGGCTTCACCCCCATAACTGGAGCACATCTCATTTTTTGACTCCCCATGGCCTCCTCCATGTTCAGCATTCCCAGGACCTTCCCTCTGTCTTTCAGTTCTTGTTGCTGAAGGCCCAGTTTGATTGTTCAAGCCATGCCTTGGAGGTCACAGCCTGTGTGTGTAGTCGCCCGAGTGAGTGCAAAATCATGGCCTCATGGCTCAGACCATGGCTTCTTAGAAACAGAAGAGCTGTGCAAATTTTGAATATTCATATCACGAAATATGTACAGTGACATAAACAAATGTCACACCTGGGATGTATTTCACACACTGTTCAACATTCTGACTCAAAAGAATACATGCTATTTGATTCCATTAATATACAGTTAAAGAACAGGCAATACTAGGTCATAATACTTAGGCATGCATGTTTAAGTGAAATCCTGTGAAGAAGTGGTTACTGTAACAGTCAGGAGAGTGCTCATCTCTGGAGGAGGATGAGGGTGAGAATCTTTGCAAGGGTCTGGAGGGACTGAGGGATGCTGGCATCGTCTGTGGAGTTTAGGAGGCTGCCTGGAATGGTGGAATGTCCCTTGTTCTGTTCATCAGGTGGACAGCCTCAGGGAGTTACTTAACCACTCCGGGAGGGGTAGAATTCCCTGAGGGCTGCAGCTCGGACAGTCAAGGGCAACCTCTAAGGTGGGATCTGAGGGCGAAGCTGAAACCCAGAGCAGACAACGTCTAACCTGGCCATCAGCTGAAGGATTGGAAGAGTGCAAGGAGTCACAGGGGTGGCCCGGTTGGGGTGAGACACAGTCTTCTACCCTGGGCATGAATCTGAGAAAGGTTAACCATGGAGTTAAGGGAAGTATGGCCACGCATGAAAGTTGTGCCTGTGCCTGTGTGACGTTTGGTTGGTGGATGAGCTCACTGTGCTGTTGCTGTTGGATGAGCCTGTGCACGGCCTTGCTCTCACAGCCTCCCTCAC